AGTTGAAATAAAGTCAACTATACAGACATTGTTAAAATAGTCCGAGTGACTACAGTGGCTCAATCTTAAGTTTATCAAGGGTTAATTCTCTTGTCTCCTGAATTTAATATGGCGCCAAAAGCTTTCAACCACCAGACTTTCACAACTGACTGATGAAATAACACACAGTACCTTTAAATTGTAAAGAAATTACGGATTCACATTTGTTTCATGAGGTGGCCTATTATTTTCGAGCTGATTTTTGTCTGCAAGTTATCTAGTTATTATATTATTTAATAGTTGTTTTTGAGTTAAGTGCTTATTGTAAATAGGTATTCATGACATTTTTATTTAGTGAACTGCTACTGATCATCAGTTTGTAACCTATTGGCTATACTAGCGAGACACGACAAGAACACTCATAGAAAGAATGTGCTTTTGTTTTTGGTTGGTAATGCATTTTTAGTTTGTGCATTTCTCTTCACGGGATATGAAGAACTTCAGTGTAATTAATTTATCAAGCGCACCATTGAACGGAAAAATGACAGTAGACTATCCTTGAAAAACTGTAGTAGGCTATAATTAATTACTAAGTAATGAGAATGCTAAAATGTTTTAGTGGTATTTGTTGCTTATGTGTATTGCACACACCGACAGAAACATAAATCGGTGACTATTTTGTAGATTTATAGGCAACTGCTTGAAAAATAGCTCAACTTTAAAAAAAAAAAAAAAAAAGTCCCCCGCATTCTGTTCTACTCTGTCACTCTCTTCCGGCTGTTTTTGAATCCAAGAACATGCTTCCTGGAATACCAATATGTGTATTTTGGGTTTGGGGTTATGATAGCATGATGTGAATTTAGTTTGTTGCAATTATAGTGATGTTTTATTAATACCAGCTGTAAAAAGGATGTATTATTATTTGGGGGAATATTATATTTATTAGAAACCACAGTTTCAAAAATTAATTACTGGTGCAAAAGCGCGAAAGTGTAAAATCTAATACATTTGAATTGACAAAAATAGACGGATATATTAGCCTGATTCTATTTAATATACACATACATATTCAGACACACCATGCTGTAGTCCCTTTTTTCACTCTTTATCTTGTTGGCTCAAGTCGGGAAGCATACAGGATCGCAGAACCTCATTTGAAAAGTTCACTCGTAATGTGGTAAGTGGTAGTGGCCCCGTCCCCTCAGTGATGGCTTACCTGACCAATCAGACAGCAGCTCTGGTCAGATGAAGCTTGTTTGGTTCTTTATCCCACCCCTCCACCCCCCGAACCCTGTGATGTCATGTTAATTCATGTTTTCCTACAGGGTTAAGCAAGCTCTTCTCTTCTTGTTATTTGTGTCATCTTTAAAAGAAGTGTTTAGCTGTGGTTTGTAACTCTGCATGACTTTGCATTTTGGTCTTCTGTTGTAACAGCTGCCAAAATGTGTACCTGTTCACTTTTTTCTGTCTTGTCCACAGAAAAGTAAGAACTTGTTTTGAAGGAAGGCATTTCTTCCAGGTAACCCTGCTTCTCCTTGACCTGTGTGTGTTGCTCCTATCCCTATAATCTAATTTTACTGAAATGGGTCATTTTCTATTTGCTTAAACATTAAAAAGATTGATATGTTGGCTGTTGTCGTTGCCCAAAACCATGCATATAAAATCATTTGTCTACCCGTTTTTGCCTTGTGTTTTAGGGGAAATCTCTGATATCGAAGAGGCTGCCTGCTGTCGCCCAATCTTGCTGAGCCTCAAACAATCCACCGAGGATGAGGACGCTGTCATCTTCATCTCTGTCGTCTGATTCCAGATACCCTGGACAACGGACCAAATCACGTGCATGTCCAAGAGACTGAATTTTTACATCAGTTTCTACTTGCTACTTGCTAGTTTCAGTCTTTAAGACATTTAGACGTGGACTTCAAATATTTGGGAAATGCAGCAATGTCTTTCAAAAGAGGAAAATGATCTTCTCCTCTACTCTTTTGTCCGTCAGGACTGTCTCCTGTAGACTGATCAAATGATGTCAAAACCGGAAAATGTAAAGTAATAAAAACCACAGTTAAATATAACAGCATAGGCACATTATGTAAAATCGAGAAGCTTTAGACACAGAGATGATCTCTTCCTACTCTCATTTCATCTCTTTTTGCATTGATTTTATTGCACTATAAAGGATTTAGCACACGTTTGCTTATCGCACATGTGAAGTCGCATGGGATATATCTGAAAGCGACTGGTCTTGCAATCTGTCTCGTCTGTTCTTCTTTGTTGGCTCCCTCCTTTATTTTTTATACCATATGTAAACACTTTTACTTGAAAATGTATTAAAGTCAATTTGTTGTCTGAAAGCCATGCAGTTGTTTTCTGTTTCTCGGTGCCACGTGTATAGCTGTCAATGACAGAGCGCTACGCCGTGGTAGAGTACTCTTGACAAATTTGAGCTGTAGTGCTCCCAAAGGAACGCAGGTTTGAGTCTAGATTGCATCATATGCTCATTCCATTGGCAAAGTCACTTTCCGGTCTAATACAGGGCTAAAAGCAAACAGTATTACTGCAGAATGTCCTGTACAATTTGTACAGTCCTGAATTTCACTACAATATGTCCTGAATTTAGGTGTTACTTGGTGGGTCTTTATTTTTTGTACATGCATACGTACAGTACATACAGTACTAGTTATGAACCATGATAATAATTATTGCCGTGAAACTTAAAATAATAGCCCGTGCTTTTACTTTCCCAAATCGTCGAACTGCAACGGTTTGTATTTGAGACAGGTGTCTACATGAGACTGGCCTTGATAATTTAGTGTTGAGATGTTGTTCATTGAGTCTCTAATCTCTAAAATTCTCCAAATGCTCCACGTGAAACTGCGGTCTTCCAACCTTTTACTATCGTGTCAATTGTGTCAATCTTGGAGAGAGTGCAAGACAGTGCTCGTGTTGTTTGAAGACGTTAGAATGCGCGCACAGCCGGGCCGCTCTCTCTCTCTCTCTCTGCTCACTGATCAAAATAGGCTTTGGCGGGACAAAAATTTGCTTTGGTGGGCTTAAAAAGCATTCAATCTGCCGGTTTTAGAAGATTAACAACCAGAAACTAAAAAATATTAGTAAATATTTTATATTTTAATATATTATATTAAATAATAAATTAATTGTAAAATAACACCATAATAAAATTAAACTGACAGTCTTATACTTTTTTCTTTTTTAGCTTATTGTATTCTGTTCATTTGCAATTTAGTTACATTGATCTGCATTCTGCATATAAATGAAACAGTATTTAAAACTATTTAATGATCATTCTTGTAGTTTGTATGACTTCATATACTATGGCAAGCCGCTTTAACATTTAATCCATAAAACCTAATTGCATGTATTTTCATAAATATTAGTAGGTTTTAAGGACTACATGTTAAAGCGGCTTGGTGTAGTATTGTGGCAAGCCATAGTATAATTAAATGTTAAAGCGGCTTGCCATAGTATGCAAGAAGGAGGCCGCACTATGCATAAACAGTTTATTTTGCACATTATGCATTGTGCGGCCTCTTTCTTGCATATACATATTCCACTTATCAGGCCAGCACTCTCAAAAAATGTAAGTGCAATCACTGAGCCTGCTCCTATCTCCATTCATTCATAGTATTATGGCAAGCCATAGTATAATTAAATATTAAAGTGGCTTGCCATAGTATATAGTAGGTTCTTAAAACCTACTAGTATGTATTTTCATGCTACTAGTAGTTCTCATTTTTTTAGATATAAGTAGAACTGTAGCATTAACATAGATACTATAGATTTTAAGGATTAAATGTTGCTTGCCATACATATACTGCATTACCTTTTCACTGAACCTTTTTTATACATTTCTTTTTTCTTTTTTAATGTATTAATCCAGTCTTAATTCTGAGAAAATACATCCTCTCACATTGTCAACTACCCACATTCATAATTAGATGATTGCTGCTACTTTTTTTAACCACTAGAGGGCAATGACATCCACCAGGTCATTTTCCTGAAGAGTCTTCGAGTTACTGCTTGTATTTGATAATTTGGTCAGTTTGGTGAGAACAGCACTAAATCTTGAGGTCCAAACTAACCTATCCAACACTAACAGTCAGCTCTGAGCAGAACAATCTAGTTTGCTGCTATCAATAATACAATGAGGAATTTAACAGGACCCAAGTGCTTCAGCTTCTTTAGTTTCAACCAAAACAATATTATGCGTGTCTGATCATTGTGTACAATGACTTTTTGGGTGTTTTCATATGATCTTCGTGCTGTGGATTGTGTGTTTTTGTGTCATTGAGAGAAAAATAAAAGGAACAAGAGAGGGAGGTTACTCTTATTGTGGTCAAATAGAGATCATTTCAAAACCACACAAACAACAGAATGAGAGAACGAATGACAGAATAAGCAAAGAAAGCCAAAGAAGAACAGTCAGTACTGTGTAAGCTCCCAAGCCAAATGGAGATTGATGTTTACACACTTAAAAATGATAAACTGTAGAGTGAAAGATTAATGGTTTTGCATCTAAAAGCTTTTGTCTTTTTAGGCCACATAACACATCTGCTTTGCCTTGTCTTGATGTGCTGTCAAAACTTGTTAACCATTTTGCATTTGGAAAGACACTTGAGAAGAAAAGAAAAAATAAACTTTAGGCAGGACCTCAATAAAGCCACAGTGAAAATTTCCCAAATGTTCCAGAAACTGAGCCCACACTTTTTTTGATTGACCCAATATAAATATGTAATGATCATTTGGATCAAACTCATTGGTTTATTGATGTATTTTCTATATATTTACAGAAATGTTTCACTGTAAAACTGTGAGCATGTTAACTGCAGCAGTCAAGAGGGACAGGGTTAAACAAGGGATGCAAACTGCAGTTGAGGGAGCCAGAGTGGCAGAGAAACTGAAGAGAGAGAGAGAAAGAGAGAGAGAGAGACAATATGTTTTCAGGACTGGTTGATTAACAGTGGACTTCTGGGGGAGGTATCAGAGAATGCTAGACCAAAAGAGAGGGAGGGAGAGAGAGAGAGAGAGAGAGGTGTAGATGATTTTTTCTGTAACTTGTGTGCAACTGATGATTTTCTTTCTGCTCTCTTCACACTCACACACTTCTCTTTGGAGAGCCACTGGGATGTGACAGTAAAACAGTGAGAATATGATGCAAAGACTCAACGGGAAGGACTCAGTGAAACAGAATGCAAGCTGGATGCCACATAAATGAGTGAAACTGGGGGACTATGAGCCATAAAGCGTGACTGCTTCAGCTTGGCCTCTGCAGAGCTGGACTCAAACGGCACACGGCACGACCTTCAGGAACACTTCGAGAATCGTTCTGTACTTCTGATGGATTTCCACGCTGATTCTCTATGTCTGGAGCTCTGAGCCTTGGCCGGTCTCTGATCTGCTGCTCGACCTTTGACCTCTGAGTGACCTCTTCACAGCAGTAAAACGTGACTCTGGACACCCGATCTACAGGTACGCTCTAAAAAGAAGATTTATTTTTTTTTTTTTTTTATAAATATCGTTTCCAAATAGAAGTTTTTGCAGCCATGCCATAAAAGAACCATTCTGGTTTCCACAATGAACCTTTCTGTAAACAGTCTTTAAAAATACCTTTTCTTCTTAGGGTAAATTTTAATAATCTGAAGGGCTTTTTAAGAGTGTAAGTAACTATTCTATGCTGTAATGTTTCTTATGTTCTTCAAGGAGTTCTAATTTGAGGGTTCTGCTACTGGAACTGGTTCTTCATAATGCAGGTCATCATCTAACCATAATGTAATGAAACTGATACTGTTCACTTTGAAAAGTAAGGATTGAGTGAGTCTGACAGTGTACTATATGTTTATTGATGGGGACGTGTGCATGAGAGCGTGTGAGGTTGTGTGACAGTTTTGGCTTCAGTCCTGCTCACGCATGTGTGTGTTTGTGACTGAAATGAATGATTGTCATTATAAAGAAGGCCATGGAAAAGGATCAGCCGCAACTCAGTTCAAAGTGGTGACTGCCCCTCAGAGCGCATTAAACCAAGCGGATTTGAGCCTGACAGCCTTTGAGTTTCCCAGTGACCTTCTAAATCCCCACCAATCCTAAACAAATACTATCAAGAAAAATGGAAATGTGTGCCTTGAGGGCTAGAGTATAATTGGGGGTTTGATAGGGTTATAAAATGGTTGATATTAATGTTAGGTTGGGTTAAGATTAATTTCTTGTAATTGTAATTATCATACATTAACAGCAGATGTCAATGGATAATACACTTGACTGTGTGTTGTGCATGTACTGTATTTGAAGGAGGTGCAGTCAGACTCAAAGCATTATGTGACGACAGCCATCAGAGAATTCAGTCATTGATATGGTTGAACTGCTTAACCACACTTTAAACCTCAGCTATGTATTGTAACATGAGTGTGACCCAACAGTCCTAAACCACAGATATTCCATCTAGTCTCAGAGATCTCGATATTCATATACCACATGGTGACCAAATCACAACATGCAAGCAGTTTATACTGCACCCTTAGGCTGTGCTTTAGCTGAGCTTTAGCTAAATACTCTTGATTCATCTGGAGTTTAGAAACATTTTTGTACGTATTGTTTTCTTTGGTCGCTGGTAAACAGTATGATTCACAGGTGGTATTCATGTTGTTGTGTTCAGCAATTTATTTTCTGTTTTTGTGGAAAGAATACTTTGTACAAGACAGTTAACTGATTAGTTTAGTGGGTAGCACTGTCGCCTCACAGCGAGAAGGTCCTCGGTTCGTGCCCCGGCTGAGCCAGGAGTCCTTTCTGTGTGGAGTTCGCATGCACTCCCTGTGTCTGGGAGTTGTGTTGTGTTGGGGATTTGGAAGCTCTAAATTGTCCGTAGGTGTGAATGCGTGTGTGTGAGTCCCAAGCCATGTAATTGTGAGGATTGGGGAAAGACATGGCAACCTATCCTGGAAAAATCATTGCCAAAAAAAATCCATGGAAAGTTTCTTGGATATGGTGATAGGAATCAACATCATGTGTCATCTTTCTATCTTTCTTTCTTTCTTTCTTTCTTTCTTTCTTTCTTTCTTTCTTTCTTTCTTTCTTTCTTTCTTTCTTTCTTTCTTTCTTTCTTTCTTTCTTTCTTTCTTTCTTTCTTTCTTTCTTTCTTTCTTTTTTCTTTCTTTCTTTCTTTCTTTCTTTCTTTCTTTCTTTCTTTCTTTCTTTCTTTCTTTCTTTCTTTCTTTCTTTCTTTCTTTCGTTTGACAGCTTGTCATGTGGTGCAGTTTAATTAATGCTGCCATTTCAAGGTGTTTACTCAGGAACACTCCTCACAACTTTAGTAGACTGGTGGGCAAAACCTCTTATTATCTCAATCTTTGCAATAGTTTCTATATAGAGATATGTGCCCACCGGTCACTAAATTTGTCATCTTTGCAGGGAAAAATACACTTAAAAGTTGCAAACATTTGTACAGTATGTTCAAGTGAAATTATTCAATTGACACATGGCTTTGGAAAACAGAACTGTGTGTAATCCTAATTTCAAGCTGAAGTGTTTCATTTTTTTATTTTGGTAAAATACTTTCTTCTATCCTAGTTTAAAGGTATGTTCACCCAAAAGGGTAAATTCTGTCTATATTCACTCACCCTCAAGTTGAATTTCTTTCTTCTGCTGAACACAAAAGAAGATATTTTAAAGAATGTCAGTAACAAAATAGCTATGGTCCCGATTGACCATAGTGTTTTCTCAATGGGGCCCATCAACTAAAGGAACTTGAGGGTGAGTAAATGATGACAGAATTGTTTTTAGATTTTTTCTTTAAAATGCAGATACAACTAAAGTGAACCAAGTGTAAGTTAATTCCCATTAAAAGTGTGAATACCTTGAGACAATCAAAACATTGTTCTGTTTGAAGATGGGGCAGATGGGGGCATGTGTGGGGAAATCTGTTCAAAAATGCAATGCTTATTTTTGGAAACACACTTCAGCTCTGTATGTGCGTGTATAAATTGCATAAGTATGTTGTAAAGAGATTTTCTTGTGGCAGAGGGAGGTACATAATTGCTGTGATGATAACTCCTGTCAAATTCATAATTTTGAAGGCGCCAGTTAGTGTTTACGCATGTGATGGTGTTTAATGTGTGTATGGGTGTGAGATAGAGAGAGAGCTTCAGGGTTGGACTTGTGGCTTCATGCGGCTGTTGTTTTGGGTTGGAAGTGTTGTGGAAGTGTGAGGGAAGGCTTGCTGTGGGTTTTGACAGTGGTTGGTCAAATGCTGGTGTCACTGGCTGTGTGGGAGAGCATGCTGGCTTCTTGTCAATGAGAGATGCTGGTACTTGCGGTTTGTTTGTTTTACGCTACGTTGGTTCTCTTACATCAGCATTTGTCTTAAACTGTTTTTAGAAGCTTAGGAAACATGATTTGTAAGAAAGTTTCGGAGTGAAATATCAGTTCTCTTACGAGAGTAACGTGTTGCGTAAGCTAGCTTACGGTACGGGAAACCCCTTTTCGCTGGAATACTGAAGCCAAAAAATTATCCTTTAATTTTTCTTATATGTAAAACGCATTGTTGCACAGAGCAGAACTAGACGAGGTAGCTTGCGTGCCTTTCGGTCAATCTGTGGCAAATGCTGCAACCTATCGATGGACTGGTCATGACGTAAGCACCAATGTGCCTCATGTCCCACCAAAATAGGCGTGGCTTATCCCTCCGCACTGCCATCTGCACTGCAGTTTGAAGCCGCCTTCTCCGCCTTACCGCCGTTCCTGCGGCGCTATCCGCCGCCTATATCCTTTCATTACTTGCTTCTCTAATTTCTCTAAAAGAGCCCCCCTCAGTGACGGGGACCACCACATTCTGTGCATTTCCTGCCTGGGGAAGAACCACGGGGACCATGCGCTTTCCGTCGGCGGCTAACCGGAATGCGACTCAATGGACTTGTCGACCCTGCAGGCTCGACCTTCCACGTGGATCCTGCAACTCCGCTTCTCTCGTGCCGTAAAAAGCGCCGTTCACAGAGGATGCCGAGCGCCGCCTCTTACGTGCTAACTCCTAGCGAAGTGCGGTCAAGCGTGGACTCTGAACTTCTCCGCCTCATGACCAAGGCCGTGAAGGACCTCGGCCTCAATTGGTCGCCACCCGAGGACCCCGCGCCCAGTCGGCTGGATGGCTGCTTCCTGCCTGGACGCTGTTCATCACAGCTAACTAGGCCTGCCCCTGTCCTGTGGAAATGCCACGAGGAGCTAGCAAAAAGCTGGAAGGCGCCATTTTCTGCTAGGCTTCTCTCTTCTGTTACTTCAGTGCTCGCCATTGTGGAGGGCGCAAAGGACAAAGGCTTCCTCACTATTCCTCAGTTTGAGGAAGCGGTGGCCACTCATCTGTGCCTGTCGTCTACTGGATGGCAATCAAAGCAGAACCTCTGCAAGCTAAGTCTGCTGCACAGGTCATCTGTCGGACATGGCGTCTCTCACCATGACCGAGAGACATTTGTGGTTAAAGCTGTCTGACATGAAAGAGTTTGACAGAGCCACTTTTCTCGACGCGCCTGTTTCTCCTGCCTTTTCCTGGGGACAGACTTAGACTCCGTGTCCATGACAGCCCAGCTGACGTCACAACGCGTGCTGCAGATTGAGCTCTAAGTGGAGTCATTCAAAGCTGGCAGTCTCTTCCCTCCCAAAATTTTTCAGCTTCAGCAGTACTTCGGTTGGGTCTGCTCCGCATGCGACCCCTCCAGCGCTGGCTGAATACACGAGTCTCGCCACTGGCATGGGCTTCTGGTCTTTTTTTGCCTCAGGATAACCCAGAACTGTGTCACAGCACTGGAGCCCTGAAGAGCGTCAGACTAGTACCAGTCAGGTGTCAGTCTGGGATTGATCTCACGAAAAACTATCTCGAGAGACGCCTCTAACGGGTGCCCTCTACAAGGTCAGACCATGTGTCTTACATAAATCGCCAAAGTGGTCTCAGATCAGGGCACCTTCTTGCTCTGGCAGAACGCCTCCTGGAAAGGACCCAGGCCCATCTGCGCTCGCTCACAGCGACGCACATGCCGGCCCACCGGACTGAGGGCCCAGACAGACTGTCCAGATACAACATCCCCACAGGGGAATGGTCCCTGCACCCACAGACAGTCCAGTTACTGTGGGGCATGTTTGGCAAAGCGGAAATAGATCTCTTTGTGTCAGCAGAGAATGCACACTGTCCAATATTCTACAAAAGGGTTTCCCTCGATTGCACTGTTACCACAGGTGATCAAGCGAATCAGGCAAAGCAAGCCATCCTTGCTCCTAGTAGCACCGTTCTGGACGAACCGTGCATGATTTCCGGAAATGAAGTAGCTCACGAGCACAGCTCCGTGGCCTATCCCATTGAGAAAGGACCTCCTATCTCCATGCTCAAAGTATATGTGGCAGCCATAGCAGCGTTCACAGAACCTTTGCATGGCCAGTCACTGGGAAAGAACAATTGTATCATCCATTTTCTCAGGGGAGCTAGGAGACTGAATCCTCCTAAAGACCAGAAGTGTGGCCTCTTCGTAGGCCTGGACTAGTGGTGTTTCACTCCAAGACATTTGTAGAGCGGCAGGCTGGGCCTCTTCTTCTACATTTATTAGGTTTTACAACCTGGAGGTTCCTGCCTTACAGGCTAAACTATTTTCAGTTTAGACCGCTGTTGTCTGATGAACTGATTATGTTGTTTCAGTACAGCTCAGTCCGACTTTCGTCCGCGCTGACTGTTATATTGTGTTAAGCACTCATCTTATGCAATATGTATATGGTCATCCTGGACTGCTGAGCCAGTTCACCGGCCCGACCGTCTTCTCTATTATGTGGTGCCCCAGGCACTTGCCCTCGGGACTAAGTGTGGATGATTTCAGCATGCACAGCGTTTTACATTGGGGTCCCGTAGCATAGCTTATGCCACACAAGAGTACTTTCGTAAGAGAACGACACTCGGTTACTAACATAACCTCAGGTCTCTCTAGTAGAGGGTGGGTTTTCCCTACAATTCAAAGTCATTCAACGGGTCAACTGGAGATGCTTAATTGTCTATGGGTGTGATTGTATGTGTGTGTGCCAACTGTAATGGACTGGCCATCTGTCCAGAGTGATTTTCCATCCTGTGGCTCCAGCGCTCCTACATAGAGAATAACCGGTTTGGAAAATGGATGGGAAAATGGCTCGGCCATTTTCAACAAAATACTGTAAAAAAAATTACTGTGCGTTTTTCACAGTAATATTTTTTAATTCCTTTTTTAATATTAATTCACTTCTTTAATTTTTACTTAATTAATTGACTATTAAGTTACTGTGGATATCATACAACTACATTATAATAAATAAATAAATAAACAAAAGCTAACAGAAATTCTGCTACATTTTATGACTGTGAAGTTACAGTATGCAGTTCAATTATATATAGTAAAGTGTAGAAATACTAGCGATAACAATGGCTGTGAAAGTATAGCAACTGCATCCGATTATGCTTTAAATCCACCCAATATTTTACAGTGTACTGTATTTTTTCTCACATACACAGACAGATGGGAGAGAGATAGAAGGTTTTGTGTTTATTTACTTATGTATGTTCCAACTAGACACTGTCATTATCTCCAAACCACAATTTTTCTCAGGGGAGATGTATGGCCCCTCTGTCTGTGAATGTCTATGTGTGTGTTCGTGTTCGTGTATGTGTTTGTTTCACGTTCACATATCTGAAATCAGTTTCAGGTATGGACAATTGAGCTCTGTGATGTTTGTGCATGTACAGTATGTCACTGCTTTTTGAGTCACTGTCAAATCCCAGCATTCCCTGTTTCTTCACACATAATCTTGAGCTACCAGTAAACCAAACCCTCTAGTCAGCCTGTGGTCATCTGAAGGAGAGAAACTCAAGACTGCTAAACTTTCCACATCCTGATCTAATAACGTTCACATGGTGTTCTCCCCACTGTTTACATGTCCCCTGCATATCTCACCACCGGCATAAGCAAAGCCCTCATTATTTAACCCTGCCTCAGCAGAGACATAAAGGCCACTTCCTCGTAACCTCCTGGCTTCTGTAGTGCTCTCTTTTGATGGGTCGGCCCTGTTTATTTGCATGAGCATTCTGGGACTGGTATAAAAGTAAACAGCATTAATGGCTGCCAGCGACACTGACGGAGGGAGATATGGATGATTAATCCATTCTTTCTGCTAGTGTGAGTCGTTTTTTTCCATGCAGCTACAATGAAAAGGGACCTAAGCTTTCAAGCTGTAAAAAGGAGCAAAAGCACCACAAAACATCATGAAAGTGGTCTATATCACTTTATTTGATGTCTTTTGAAGTCATCTGATAGCTGTCTGTGAGAAATGGACTAAAATTCCGGTAGAGAATTGAACTTGAGATTCTCATTTGTGAATGAAACCCTCACACTGGTTTTGCGAACCATATTAATGATTCACAAAAAAGACTCAAAAGAACCATTTGTTCATGATTAAGACATCCAGCTCGCAAACTTTCATTAACATGCAAAGATGTCAAAATTTTCAGTGAATAACAAATTAAAATTCAGTCTGAACACAAAGTCTTTCTCACACAAAGATATAGTTTGGCTTCAGAAGACTTTAAATATGGTTCTTTGAAGCCTGAATGCTTTAGTCCTTTGTGGAGAAATGTCATACAGATTTAGAATGGTGAGTAAATGACTAATTTTAATTTTGGATGAAAGATTCCTTAAATGGAATCAAAATAACCTTTTTTTGGGTAATTTCATTTTAAAGAAAGTTCATGTTTAAAAGATAAACCTGACTGAGCAGGATTGTGTTATGCTTGCTCATATGTGTTTTCTATTTTGTGGAGAAAGATTCACACATTTTCTTGACTTCAATGTTGCTCTTTTTTTTTCCAGAGGTATCATGTGAAAAGGATGTAGTCATAATAACTTTCTGGTGTTGTTTAGCACCAGACTTTCTGTGAGCTCTTTGTGCTGAAAAACATCCATATAAAAAAGCCTTTGGAACATAAAAACAAATCTATTGAAAGACAGTGTCTTTTAAATATATTAAATACAACTGTGCTTTATTTTCAATACCCAGCAGACAAGATGAAAGCGGATGCTGGCTAAGAGAGAGAGAGAGAGAGAGAGAGAGAGAGAGAGAGAGAGAGAGATAGAGAGAGAGAGAGAGAGAGAGAGACAGAGAGAGAGAACAGAGAGAGGAGAGAAGAGAGAGAGAGTGAGTAAAGTGAGTGAGTGAGTGAGTGAGTGAGTGAGTGAGTGAGTGAGTGAGAGAGGGCATGAATGAAACAGACTATGCCAGTGGTTGTAAAGTATCTGAAATATCAGAGGTTATCAGAGGTTTATCTAAAGCAAAACTGACAGAGTGCACCAAGATAAACAGGACTGAGGATTCAGACCAAAGACCAGGATTAACTTTATCAGCATTACATAAGAACCACTCTGCTTTTTAAGAATAAACAAAATGCTGTAAAACTGCACTCGCTGGTCTTTTTAACCAGAAAGTGCCATGTGATCACCATGGTTGTGGTTATCATGACACAACCATGGATATACCATGCTAATAACTCATAATAATCATTTGTGGTGTCTTTGGGACATACTGCTTCATCATGATTGCGCCTCGGACTGCTTTGTCACTTAGTTATGTGCATCCTGTAACCGTTTAAACTTCCCAGTCAATCATTTTGAATTTCCAATGGTTCACAATTCTTTTGCAGAAAATAATGAGGATAACAATGAATAAATATTTTTTCACCAGGTTAGATACTGATTATTAATCACTCAAACCCCTATCTAAGAACGCAGGTTCATGCCATACCTGCCACGGCTTGACCTCTTGCCTGAATTAAAAGAAAACACACAGTGTTTTTTTGTTGTTGTTGTTGTTTTTTGCAGTAAAGTGGAGTCGGTTTTATATTTTTACCTTTTGTTTTTATTGTTATTTGTTATATGTTAAATTTAGTCTGATGTCATATCACGGCCGTTGTAGTGTCCGTGTACTCACACTACTTTACTTTTTAGTGGTTTCCTGCATTACTACAGTAATGCTGCAACACGGATACTCCAAACATGACTCGAACCAGATGCTGATTACAGTTTTACTTTATTTTGATGGTCCCTTTAACTAATTTTGTTGACTAAGTAGCGTTGCACCTACATGTCTACTAACTCTCATTATAGTATTATTAGACTGCAGGGTTAGGGTTTGAATAAGTTGAAATTTACTTGTAAATAGTCAGTAGAATGTCTGTTGGAAGAGCATCAAATAAGAGTTATTATGATATTATTTTTATTACCAGATACAGTCTACTAATAATCTAATGAGAGTTAGTTGACAACTTTGCAAAGTACTTATAGTCAACACAATGTCCAAAAGGGACCATCAAAATAAAATGACTATTATGAGCATATTGATATTAGCGAACCAAAAACATACAGCATGAACAAACCGACTCATGTTTTTGGGGAGATTCATGTGTCACATGAGCAGGTCAAGTGAAAATGCAATATTTCTTAGTAAAAGCCAAAGTACTGATTATCTATCGGCCTTATATGTTAATTAAAAACAGTCCAATTAACCAGAGTTGTCTGATTTCTGAGTAAATGCGTACAGTTAACAATTAAACATTTATCAATATATAGCTACTGACCATTCATTTGAAAATGTATACATTTTGAATCAGTACCAGAGGCACTAAAGTTTTCCCTATTTTGAATCTTTCATCAGGATGTTCTGGAAGCTGGCAATACCTGCCATTTTGGCATGGACCCTTTTTGTGTCTACGGAGACCAAGAAGCCTCGTCCTCAAGGTTCCATCCCATCCCCATACAAGCTAAAAGGCAATGATTTGTCATCACCATCCCACACACTAGCAGCATTGCCCCAGCACACATCAGCACAACGACAGAAGGGAAAACACGACATGCTGTCGTCGAGTCGCGAGGCCCTGGTAGTCACCGAGAGGAAGTACCTGAAGAGCGACTGGTGCAAAACACAGCCATTACGTCAAACGGTGAGCTTGGAGGGCTGTCTGAGCCGAACTGTAATCAACCGGTTCTGCTACGGCCAGTGTAACTCTTTCTACATCCCACGCCACCTGACGTCTCAAGCTTCACATCGAAGTCGAAAAACAGCATCCACGTCAGACCACCACACTTCATTTCAGTCCTGTGCGTTCTGCCGGCCAAGCCGGATAACCACGGTCACCGTACGGCTTCACTGCCCTGGGCTGCAGCCCCCATACCGGCAACGGAAAGTGCAACGGATCAAGCAGTGCAAATGTGTGTCTGTTAATGTCAGTGCTGCATACTGAGTAGGTGCACATACGAAACAATGCTTTAGGGTGTTCTGTTTAAAAAAAAAAAAAACTGGGGTCGCCCCAACAATCAATGTGTGAAACGTGCCAAAGACAACAGCTAATCAGAAGACTGGCCACCTTCATCATGTCTGGACTGTACTGCATTATGCTCTACGGGAATGCTTAATAGCTGCCGAGCAGCACAGCAATGGAAACAATGTTGGATTTTTCTTCTTTTTTTGACAAATATAAAGAACCTGAGAGTTCAACTACATACAAGAATGAAACAGTAAATAACATTCTTGTGTTAAATTAACTATGTTTGACCTTTGACCTCTCGAAAATTTTCTTTTTCAAAACGGATGGAGCGTCTGTATCCCAGCGTTCTCCTGCCTTACCTCAGAAATGCTGATTCTCTATTGAGTGCAACAGTTGGGTTCCGGAAGTAAAAATCCTATTCATTTTATCCATAGGGGAATTGGTGAAGTTCCAAACCTGTGTGATCTACGAGGTTGTTAGTTGATGGTAAATGCTTCTGTTGAAGCCATCAGTCTACATTATTTCAACTTATTTTTAAACAATCATGTTTAACTGCGGAATTCCTAAAGAAAAACTACATTACCTGTGATTCTACAAAAACATTCAACCAATGTGATTCACCTCATTGCTGGGTGGTTTAGTTTATGGCTTACAACTCTTTAATACAGCTTATTTGAAAATACTTCTGGAACCAAGGGCCTCGTTTCTGAAAAAAAAATCATTGCAGAGGTATAAATGAAAACAGACGCATAGCCTACAGCGTAGAGGTACTTTACGCTGTAGGCTACATGTCAGTTTTCATTTATAATTCTGTGTCTTTGTCCGCCTCGACGTACAGTTACACATGCAGACTTCTAGTAGGCAGTGTCCACTGGCATGTTGATGGTGTAACCATAGATATCCACAATAAAGGCTAGATATCTCATCCACGCTGCTGGCCAATGGAGGTCGACGTCTGAACCTGGCGGCCATCTTGTCACAGGCAGCTCGCTCACTCGTAACATTGTGTTTTAATGGTGCATGTACTTTTTAAATAACTATAACTTGCTCAATTTTCTACCAATTTTCAAATGGTTTGGTTTGTTATAAACGTCAGAGATGTAGTTATGACACTGCATACTTATGAATAATAAGTGTATAAATAAATAATCATCCAGAATTATAGCCACGTTAATAACGTTTGTAAGAAACCAAGCCGTTTGTAAATCCGTCAAGATTTCAATGAGAAAGGAGATATTTGTGTTCGTGCTGATCACTCATCTTACATCAGCTTGCCGGTGACAAGATGGCCGCTGGTGATGACGATAGAAACTCCGACGTAAGACATCTAACCTTCATTGTGGATATCTATGGGTTTAACCCACAGTATCAAAGCAAAAGCCGAAGAAGAAGCAGCTTGTTGTGTACCATAGATATATACACTAGATGTCGCCTTGGCTACGGCAGTCGAATGCGTCAATAGAGCCGCCATCTTGGAACAGGGGAGCCCCTCCACTTTTAATGCATCAGAGTCAATGTAGACAAAGGTCTAATGGAAATGAAATCACCATAAACCATCATGAATTCGATTTTCTCGTTTTTTTTTTTTTTTTTTTTTTTTTTTTTCAAGCCGTCTGAAATCATTTGCGATTTCTAAATGTCACATCTAAAAGTGTGGCGTACGTTCATTTCGTTCTCTGAATCACACGTACGCACATTGGAAAAATTATCGCAAGATCAAATATAGGATGGGGTTTATTTTATAAATGAGGCTGAAAAAGTGGGTGGGCACTGTTGCATTCTATTAAGCTGTGTCCAAAATAGCATACTCTCTTGAGTAGGCATTATTTTGAACAAGTAATTGGCTAGTAATACGTTTTTGCCTACTATATAGTAGGGGTTTGGGTTGCAACCTTGGTCTTGATACTTGAGAACAGTGGAAACAGTTTGACCAGCATACCTTCACCATCTTGTTTTACCTACCCAGCTGTCGTGTGTATAAGCAATAATGAAGGACAGTTGAAAACATGCAAGAATGCTGTGGGACTGTGGACCTTATCGACGGGAAATTAGAGGGGGTTCATTATATTTTGACTAAGCAGGAAAACAGTGGTGGAAAAACTATATTTTGACTTGGTGCTACCATTGGCTTTGCTGTATACAATGGAATGATGCTGTTGGTTTCAGTTCATCCAATATGGGCTGACTTTGATCAAGTCCGTGAAGAGTTTGAGCCTTGCCGTTGTTATGATAATTCACAATGTGCACAACATAAACTGAGATACCTTAAAGTCGAAAAGACACACTCATTAATGACAATATTTAACAAAATAGCAAAAATGTTTAGATAAAGGAATTTATGACAAATCAACCATAGAAAATCTATGAATATATATACATATATATATGTAAAATATAAAATGAACATCTTCTAAAAAAATAAATCTATTATTTCACATTACAATACAACTTTTGTGTTGTTTGTGTTGTTCTGTGTTGTTTGTAATTATCTTCTACAAATTCCTCCATAAGGAAACGACATCACATAATTCACATGCAGCTGCTCCATTTCATTTCTTAACCATGTAGCACATACATAAATAACAACGAAATGATCACACATGAAATACAAAGCTGTCAGCTTTAATTTAAAATACATTTTGGTAAATCTGAAAGGTTATTGCACACAGTGAACTGATAACAGCTGTACACACACACACACACACAGTAAATTTGCTCAGCAACTTTTCATTAAACACCTCACAGTTCAGTCGTGACCGAGAAATTCACTAAAAATCATACAATGGTGTGCAAATTTCATAGGTTGAAGTAAGTAAACGCATTTAGAGGGAACTATGGACACAGAATATTATCCAATTATAAATAGGTTGGTTTCTTCTGATGGCTCTTTCTCCTCCTGTATGATTTAAACCAAGACACACTGTTTAAGACTTTACACAGGTCAAAGTCGAACATTATATCTGAGAATTGGCATTTCTTTATGTATTTAGTTATTCCATTTTATTAAATGTCAGTGACAACAAAGTCAGCATTTCTTCATTGGTTGACCAATTGTCGCAAAGTATTGTTCAACCACGTTGGTTTCGCACGTGGTCTACTTTTAATGAAACTGTTTGAGATCCAATTAACGCTAGATTTGTTAATATAAATTATTTTTAAAAGGCACTGTTAAATAAATGATTGTCTGTTTTTAAAAGCAACCAGGAAAAAGGCTGAGAAAAAAATAACGATAATTCTGCGCAACCCGGTATCACGACAAGACGTGAAATAATCACGTTGGTCCACTTTGGAAAACGTGTAGATGTCACGGTTTAACCCCCTCAAACTTTCACGTTTGCGTTAGACCCTTCCAGAGCTGAGATATTGAGATATTAACGGCATAAATGCTATGTGAGATCGCAATATCTCAGCTCTGGAAGGGTCTAGAGCATTGATCATCAACTGGCGGCCCGCCAAGCGGTTCGATCCGGCCCGCGACTGGATTCAAAAATTGTGAGGATCAAAGAGAGAATATGAAGAGTTTGATTCCAAAATGTGATAAACGCCATTTAAAAAAAAAAAAAAAAACAATGAGTTAATCTGACTTTTCAATACCGACCAGATACAAAACAATGTTTAATTTAAATGTTTTCTTTCCAAACCGCGACAAACATCAGTCTCCCTTTTCTGCAAATTGCGACATATCCGCTTGCCCAATCACAACGCACCATTCCACGCAATGTAAACAGTAACGGCAGCGCTTTAACTACACCCGGCTTCCTAGGTTTTCTCTATTTTGTCCTTTCGATCAACAAACAAAAAAATGAATAATTTTGACAGCATTGGTGAACCTGCAGAGGGTAGGCTAAGCCATCCTGCAAGGGTGAACGTGACATCGCAATCGAATCATTTACGTGAGGAGAAGAATTCATCGTAAGAAGATGAGGCACTCGGGAGGAGGAAATACCGGCTGTTGCTTGTTCTCACACGACAGCATCAAACTTCTGTCACGCTGACACACTGACCCCAGGGATCTTGTGGAAAAACTTTCAGTTGTTTTATTCAAAGTCAACGAAAACCGAGCAGGACCAAGCCATTTTACAGCTGATCCCCGTCAAAAAAACTCAGCGGCGACATCCCAAGGTTGACAAAAGCGAGATGCAGAAGTAACGTTAGATCATGCTTAATAAATCATAATTCATGATGATGTGCTCATCTTAGTTAATGTTTTAATTAAGGTGTTGTTCATCCATGAAGTCATGAATGAAAAAAGTTGAATTGTTAAAAAACGTTGTTAGTTCCTGATGATATTAATGTATGAATGAATGCATAATTCATGCATGATTCATTTATCCATGAATTCATGATAATTCATGACATGTACACTTAAAGGGTTACCGGATATTGCTATATTAAAGCAATGGATTTATAGTATGCACAAAGAAATTCAATGTGTATAAAATTTTATTTTGATTAATTGCATTTTGAAAAAAAAAATGGATTTATTGCATTTTGGGGAAAAACAATCTGTTTTTATAATAAATCTTTGAAAATCAAAACCTGGATTTAATTTTTTATTGATATTATAACCTACAAATGCTATGTGAAATTTTGAAACAGAAAATAGTGGTTTTCATCTTCCCATTTTCTAGCTAAAGAAAACACAGTTTTATTCATCAAAATGGATTTAAAGCGTTTTGGAACCAAACTCTTCATATGTAGGCCTATTCTAGGTGCTAGGAACCTGACTCATAAAGGCCTTCAGTTTTGTAATGAAATGGAAAAAGTATTAACAATAAACATAAATCATAATGTTATACCAAAATTTGATTTTTTTAAATTTAATTTTTATTTAAGGGTCCGGCCCCCAAGAAGACTGTCTGGTAAAATTCTGGCCCTCTGACAATATAGTTGATGACCCCTGGTCTAGAGCCTCTGTTTTTGCACTCTAAGTCCCATGGGCCTCTATTAGAATCCAGAGTTTCAAGAAGATCAGATCAACTCAAAATTTCGACCCAAAAAAAAAAAAAACAAAAAAAAACGACAGTGTTTTTTTTTTTTCGGGCCGAATATTTGAGTTTCGATATCTCAGCTCTGGAAGGGGCTAGAGCCTCCATTTTTGCACTCAGGTCTAAGTCTCAAGGCCCTCCATCAGAATCCGGAGGTTTGGGAAGATTGGAGAAACTTATTTTTTTGCCCGAAAAAAAAACAAAACGTAAGGGGTACCACTGTCGTTTTTTTTTTTTCGGGCCGAATTTTTGAGTTTCGATATCTCAGCTCTGGAAGGCGCTAGAGCCTCCATTTTTGCACTCAGGTCTAAGTCTCATTGCCCTCTATCAGAATCCAGAGTTTTGAGAAGATTGGTGAAACTTAATTTTTCGCCTGAAAAAAAAAACGTAAGGGGTACCACTGTCAATTTTTTTGGGGGCTGAATTTTTGAGTTTCGATATCTCAGCTCTGGAAGGGGCTAGAGCCTCCATTTTTGCACTCAGGTCTAAGTCTCATTGCCCTCTATCAGAATCCAGAGTTTTGGGAAGATTGGGGAAACTTAATTTTTCGCCTGAAAAAAAAAAACGTAAGGGGTACCACTGTCATTTTTTTGGGG